GTCCACTTGATTTTCCAAAAATAATGTCGTGAGGTAGGATTTTATGCTCTTTGTTCTTTAGCTAAGGAAACTAAAGAGAAGAAGGCTGAACTGACTTAAAGTCACAGAGCTGGGACTGGACCCCAGGACACCTGCTTCTAAATACATAGCTCTGATTGTATAACTATGTGTATATTCTGCTCACGTATGCGCATGTGATACATATCTATCAGCTATAACTTCAGTGAAATATTCAATTCAATTCAAAGAATGTTTATTGATCTCATAATACCTCTAGAATTATATTCTTTTCCTGTATCTCTTAAACTCACCTCCTCAAAATGCTTGTAAATTATTCTCTTTATTCTTAACAAAATGTATTAAGCAAGTAGTCAAAATTCCATCACCTGCATTTATTGAGTGAAGAACCTGAGAGGTTCAATGACACGCCTAACGTCAGATGAGCTAGAAGACAGCAAAGACCAGTTTAGTGACCCTGTCCTAGGTTCTGTACACTCTGCCTTCAGAAATCTGGGTGGTTGAGGCTGCAACAATCATGTAAAGCCAACAATCTTTCCCTCACAGAGCCCAAAGAACCTACAATCACCTGTACCTTGGATTTTTGTGTGAGTCTGTGTTGGAGTGAATCTTCTGGGAGCCTGTAACACTCCCCTGTTGGTGACCCCTTCACTTCCGCTTTCATTACAACAGCAGTGTGTGTTGTGACTATGTGCCTTTCACATCTGGCCCATCATGGGCTGAGATGAGCATAGTTCATTACTTGTACTTGGGCTAAGTCTAGAACTTCACTCCTGGTGGACTTGTCCTGTCACTCCATGCCCAGTACCTTCTAGAGCATGTATTGTGTACCAGGCACTGTGCTGAGTGCTTTACATACAGCTTCTTATTTAGTTCTTTATGATGCTATCATTATCATCCCCATTAAATAGGTTGAAAATCACTTACCCAATTCATAAAGTTAGGATGTGACAAAGCCAGGATCCGAACTCAGGCAGTTTGTCTCCTGGGTCCTGATACCTAACCATTATGCCACTCACCTTAAGTTTCTTTCTGGAAGCCATGTGATTGTCATATTTTGTCAATCTCTAAATGATAAGAATGCTGCTTTTTCTTCCGGTGCACATCTTCATCACCCCCTTTCAAACCAGTTCTCTCCTTCTGCATCAATCATTACCAGATAATGTTTAACCTAAGAGGCAGAGCTCAGTGACAGTTCTCATTTTTTTTAAGAAACCTCATGGACTTGGCGCTGTATTTCCCTTGTGTAAACCCGTATTGGATCTCAGGCTCCTCAAGGCTCTCTGTCAGCCCCCAATGCTGTGCTGACTCCGCAAAGCAGTGAGTGATAAATTGCTTGCTGTTGCAGCTTCTGTGCTTTAAGAATGCAGCCATCCATCTACATCCCACAATTTCTTTGTCATTGTCAATGATAACTGATAACATTTATAATCTGGTAAGGTGAAAGAGTCTCCCAGGTGTCAAGCTATATACTGTGACATAGCTTTGTAAGTCCCTAATTGCATTCTCAAACGCACCAGCAAAGGAAAAGTTGAACAGGACTGAACATAACACAGTCTGACTTCACTCAATTTTTCATGTGTATTGGTAAACTTTTGAGAGTTGTCAAACTTCTGAAAAGTTGCCAGGATGCAATTCTAATGACTGCCAAATGCTTTTATGACATCCAGGAATGTACTTTAGAGATTTCTTATGCCATTTTTGTCACATTTTCCTGTGCATTAAAACTATGTGTACTGTAATGTACCTTGATCTTACATATATACCTACAGCTATTTTCAATAGCCGGCCCAGGAATTTCAAACTGGGATTTGCATTTTAATTGTGAAGGTTATCATTTGAAACAGGTAATACTTTGTTTAATGCAAGACATCGTGCATTGATTAGCACAAGTGACCATGAAAATTTGGTACATGAAGATTGGAATCTCTAGGGTGACCCTTGCTTCTAAATCTTTATTTAGATTTAGAAGTTCAGTAGGTTACTGCATTTTAATGTATATAGAACAGCATCTATCCAAAAACCCTGTTTACGGTGAAAATCATTAGACTTAACAATAGAAGGATCAGAACTATAATTTGTTAATATGCTAATAGTTCTTCTGATTTTAGTTAGGGTGGCTTCCTGAGGCCACTTTTACATATCAAAAGTTATGTAAAAAAAGATAATGGTTAGACAATCTAGACAGGACATTGGAAAGCCAACTTCCAAGAAGAAAGACTTCTTTTCTCATCAGGATATCCAGATATCTATATCTATATCTATATCTATATCTATATCTATATCTATATCTGTCTATATCTATGTCTATATCTATGGTATCTACTAGTGAGTGCCAAGAGTGGAGACGAAGATGCTGATATAGCAGAATTGTTTAGAGTTTGTGAGACATAGCCCCCTTTGCTCGGAGAGTTATTGAAGTTTTTGACTGCCTTTGAAATTCAAATTCCCAGAGTCTTCTGCTCAGCCCTGCTCTGACTAGCTCCTTTGAACTTAAGGGTCTTTCCTTGGCCTGTTAGTAAGTCTTCTCAGTCATGACCTTCTGGATTCAAGCCCCTTTCCCTAAGAAGGAGGGGGCTTCATCACTGTTCCAGTTTGGGTCGGGGAATGGAGAGGGATATAAATCTTGAGCTGGGTCTTTTAACTCCCAACCATGTCAAGGCCGTAGGGACTTTCTGTTTTCGCACTACCAGGGGCACTGGGGTATTCACTGTTTCACCCTTGCTGGTTCAGGGGCTGAGGCAAGCCTCTAAGTGCAGGCAGGAATCTTTCCTTGTGGATCATCCACTGCTTTGTGCTTTCTCAGGACAGGAGAAGCGTCTCACTCAGACGCTGACAGATAGTGGACACCAGGTGGCCTCAAGCTATTCCCAGGGCTTGCTTGACAGAAGCTGAACTAAGCATTAACTTTGATCTGCTCCTCTAACACCGCATATACAATCCTGTTTTGCCAGGGTAGTTTGGCTCTATTCTCTTTACAACTATCGTATACATGCCATACTCTGCTCCTTAGAGTATTCTTTTTTAATTCTTAAAATATATTCCCACACTCCAGAAACAAAAAACAAAACCTATGGAACTTATCTGTGCTAGCTAGAACTGTTTGCTGGCCCCGCCCCCGCCTGAAGGTGCCCCGCCCCCACGCCGCCGACACGTGGAGTGCGGCGCGGAGACAGAGCCTACGCCGCCTCTACTGCGCAGACTCCGAGTCCCCGGTTCGCCCTCCGGCGCGTGGGCTGAAGCTTTGCGCGTCCTACTCCTGGGGCGTCGTATTCCTGGGCCTGGAACTCCTCCCGCTCCTCGCCTCACCACGGTGGCCCCAATGGCATGTCTCTGAAGGACTCTGCCCCGTGTTTCCCCGCTCTGTGCGCTGGAAGAGAGGGAACGAGCCGAGAGCACCGCGCATCTGCCGAACCCCGCGGGGCCGCATATTCCTTCAAGAGTCCGAGGAGGCCGACCCTGGGGACCGGCGCACGACGGGCCGTGGCGTGGTCGCTGCCGTCGCGTCCGCGCAGATCGTGTGACTCCTGAGACCCGGGACCCGGTGAGCAGGCTGACGGGTCCGGGGGGCGGTGCTACCCAGGCCGCCGGCGGGGCCAGACGCCCGCCGTGGTGCCCGCCGTGGGTACCGTTCCCGCCGAGGACCATTCGGGGTCCGGCAGTACCTGGGTGCGGAGACCCCGGCGGGGCCGCGGCCGGGGGTGTGAGGGGCGAGCCGGGCTCCCGGGAGCGGGGTTGGGAGGGGAGGGCTTCATGGGAGGCTGGGCGTCCGTGGTGAAACCCGCACCGAAGCGCAGCTGCTTCCTTGGCCGAGTGCGGACAGCTCACACCCTGCAGGAGCCGCGGTGCTCGCGGTAGCAATGGTGTGTGCGGGCGAGTGGCTGGGGCAAGTGGGCGAGCCATCCGCCCCGGAGGGCACAGCTGCCCGCTGCCCAGTGGCCCAGGAGTCGCAGGACAGTGCTCATNATATCTATATCTATATCTATATCTATATCTATATCTATATCTGTCTATATCTATGTCTATATCTATGGTATCTACTAGTGAGTGCCAAGAGTGGAGACGAAGATGCTGATATAGCAGAATTGTTTAGAGTTTGTGAGACATAGCCCCCTTTGCTCGGAGAGTTATTGAAGTTTTTGACTGCCTTTGAAATTCAAATTCCCAGAGTCTTCTGCTCAGCCCTGCTCTGACTAGCTCCTTTGAACTTAAGGGTCTTTCCTTGGCCTGTTAGTAAGTCTTCTCAGTCATGACCTTCTGGATTCAAGCCCCTTTCCCTAAGAAGGAGGGGGCTTCATCACTGTTCCAGTTTGGGTCGGGGAATGGAGAGGGATATAAATCTTGAGCTGGGTCTTTTAACTCCCAACCATGTCAAGGCCGTAGGGACTTTCTGTTTTCGCACTACCAGGGGCACTGGGGTATTCACTGTTTCACCCTTGCTGGTTCAGGGGCTGAGGCAAGCCTCTAAGTGCAGGCAGGAATCTTTCCTTGTGGATCATCCACTGCTTTGTGCTTTCTCAGGACAGGAGAAGCGTCTCACTCAGACGCTGACAGATAGTGGACACCAGGTGGCCTCAAGCTATTCCCAGGGCTTGCTTGACAGAAGCTGAACTAAGCATTAACTTTGATCTGCTCCTCTAACACCGCATATACAATCCTGTTTTGCCAGGGTAGTTTGGCTCTATTCTCTTTACAACTATCGTATACATGCCATACTCTGCTCCTTAGAGTATTCTTTTTTAATTCTTAAAATATATTCCCACACTCCAGAAACAAAAAACAAAACCTATGGAACTTATCTGTGCTAGCTAGAACTGTTTGCTGGCCCCGCCCCCGCCTGAAGGTGCCCCGCCCCCACGCCGCCGACACGTGGAGTGCGGCGCGGAGACAGAGCCTACGCCGCCTCTACTGCGCAGACTCCGAGTCCCCGGTTCGCCCTCCGGCGCGTGGGCTGAAGCTTTGCGCGTCCTACTCCTGGGGCGTCGTATTCCTGGGCCTGGAACTCCTCCCGCTCCTCGCCTCACCACGGTGGCCCCAATGGCATGTCTCTGAAGGACTCTGCCCCGTGTTTCCCCGCTCTGTGCGCTGGAAGAGAGGGAACGAGCCGAGAGCACCGCGCATCTGCCGAACCCCGCGGGGCCGCATATTCCTTCAAGAGTCCGAGGAGGCCGACCCTGGGGACCGGCGCACGACGGGCCGTGGCGTGGTCGCTGCCGTCGCGTCCGCGCAGATCGTGTGACTCCTGAGACCCGGGACCCGGTGAGCAGGCTGACGGGTCCGGGGGGCGGTGCTACCCAGGCCGCCGGCGGGGCCAGACGCCCGCCGTGGTGCCCGCCGTGGGTACCGTTCCCGCCGAGGACCATTCGGGGTCCGGCAGTACCTGGGTGCGGAGACCCCGGCGGGGCCGCGGCCGGGGGTGTGAGGGGCGAGCCGGGCTCCCGGGAGCGGGGTTGGGAGGGGAGGGCGGGGGGAAAATGCTGGGGGGGGGGGGAGCTTCGGGGGAGGCTGGGCGTCCATGGTGAAACCCAGGCGGAGGCTGGGGCTTCTGGGAGAAGAGCATCCTGAGGTTCCAGCCCCTGCTGAGTCTTTGCTAACTAGAGGGAGGGAATGGGGAACTTGCTGTCCTTTGTCCCAGGTTTCCGAACCCTTATTGTGGCCTTTGAGGACAGTGCTGCTCAGAGTTTGGTCCCAGAGCCTCTTCACACCGTTAACATTACTGAGGACCAAAGAGCTTCTTTTCCAATGGGTTTTACCGGTTAGTATGTACTGTCCGACATTAAAACAGGGAAAATTTAAAATTTCAGTTTATTTAAAACTCAGTGATGAACCCTTTACATGTTTTATAAGGTAATTTATTTATTTTGAGAGGGAGAGAGCACACGTGGGAGAGGAGGAGAGAGAGAAAGAAAGAGAGAGAATTCCAAGTAGGCTCCAAGCTAAAAACCCAGAGCCTGCCTCTGAGCTCAGTCCCACCGTGGAACTCCATTCTGGCGACCAAGAGATCATGACCTGAGCAGAAAACAAGAGACCGCCATCCAACTGACAACCAACATGACCCCCTGGGGTGCCCCATGAGCTTCTTACATGTGAATATGTTTATGAAAAATAACTATTTACCAAACAAAGAGGGGCCACTATTTTACATTTTTGCTTATCTCTTTAATATATTCTATTTCCTTTAACATTCAGTCTGTTGTGAAAGCTCATGTCATGTAGTCTCTGGAAAACTTCGCCGTACACTCCAGAGAGAATGAGATTGAAAAAGATAAATAACGTCTTGGTATTATTTGAAGTTTTCCTTTATTTATTTTGAGAGAGAGAGAGGGAAGGAGGAAAGGGCAAAGAGAGAGAGGGAGACAGAGAATCCCAGGCGGGCTCTGCACCATCAGCCCAGAGCATGATGCAGGGCTCAAACCCATGAACTGTGAGATCATGACCTGAGTGCAAACAAGAGTCAGTTGCTCAACCCACTGAGCCACCCAGGTGCCCCTCATATTTTGATAGGATTGTTAAAGAAAAACTAATTGCATCAAGAATTAGGTTTCTTTGAGATTCATGGCTCCTACATTTTCATTCAGTGCAAGAAGCATTTAGCATGCGACAAGAGAGGCTTTACTTTCAGAATGCTCTGACAAGGGAAGAGCCATATAGCCCACATTTTCCAAGAAAATTCCTATTTTCTTGTGTATTCTTTTTTTTGGAGGCGTTATCATAGATTCTATGAAATGAAATTCTGGTTTCCCTCAATCTCCTTAACTGCTCTTTTCCAACATTGCCTTTGCTGGCCCCTCCTCTACCTAAATGTGTAGAGGAGAGTGGAAGACAGGGAATTCCATCCCTGGTAATTTAAATGGGCTGAACAAATTCGCAAAGTACAAGCAGTCATCTTTCCTGCTGGGCGATGGATAGCTTCCTGGTGCAGTGAGGACCATTGGTAAGGCTTCTCAGTACAGGTGACCCTGCAGTGTCCCCCAGTCCTCTCTCTTGATGCTGCTTCCTTAGATGATTTCACCTAATCCCATGTGTTTTTATCATCAGAGCACATTATCCACCACCACCACTTCTGACTGGAGTTCCTGGCTCAAAATTTAGCTGCCTGCATGATGTCTCCAAGTTTATGTCTTGAGGACAACTCATACTTAACAAAGCTGAAATTGAACTAACAATCTTTATCCTCGATGTATGCGTGCTGGCCTGCTGCTTCTACAGTTTTTCCCTCTCAGAAATCGACATCATATTCTCCTAAGTTGCTTAGAATATAAATCTGGAAGTCATTCTTGAAATCTACTCATTGGACTTCGTCTATCTCAATCTATCATGTAGTCTTAATTCATTGTAACCTCAAATGATCTCTCTAGTACATTAGCTTTTTTACTGCTATTACTGAAAGTCTGAGTTTACCATCATATTTTTCTTTTTGCCTGGACTGCCCCAAAGCATCTTTCTTATTTATTCTCCTAACATCCACATATATCACTGCCCTTCCCTAATCTGTCTCCACATCTCTTAAAATCAGAAGTACGAACACATTGCTTCCCTGTTAGCAGTTTTTCTGTGGCTGCTCTGCGTTTTTAGGCTGAAGCTGAAAGTTCTTAACAAGGACTCTAAGATACCGTATGATCTGCCCCCTGTCTACTTTGCCAGCCTCTTCTCCCACCTCGTCTCTATATCACTTTTTATATATCACCCATAGTAGGTTTTATTCATTCAGCAATCAACATTCATGATTGAGCATACAATTTGTGCCAAATATTGAGGATACAGTGGTGAACAAAGTCAGGGATATCCTGGAAGTCATACTCTAGAGTAGGGAGTTAGGGTACACGCAACCCTACCAATGAATGTCAAAGATAATTTCAGAGGGCAAAAGTTCTACCGAGAAATAAAACATAATGTCATAGACAGTGACGACAGGCTACCTGGAACTGGGCGGGCAGGGAAGACTTCTCTGTGAAGCTGAGCTCAGAATGGCAAGAAGCCAGGTCAGTCTAGTGAATATACAGGAACAGAACATTCCAAGGAGTGATGATAACAAAGATAAAAGCTCTGAAGCAGAAACAAGTTTGTTTATGAAATAGACCAGTGTGGCTGGTCCACGGTAAGCTAGCATGTTAGTTTTCTATTACTGCTGCAACGAATTAACCATAGTGGCTTGAATTTTTTTTTTTTTTCTGAGAGAGAGAGACAGCAGGAGCAGGGGAGGGTCAGAGAGAGAGGGAGATACAGAATCTGAAACAGGCACCAGGCTCTTAGCTAGCTGTCAGCACAGAGCCTGACACGGGGCTCGAACCCACGAACCATGAGATCATGACCTGAGCCAACATCGGATGCTTAACCGACTGCCAGGTGCCCCCATAGTGACTTGAAGAAACAACAACACGGATTTACTGTTTTACAGTTCTGCAAGTCAGAAGTATGAATGGGTCGCGATGGGCAAACCCCGAGGTGTCTGCAGGACTGCATTCCTCTCTAAAGGAATGCGCGAAGCGAACATGTATTTCCTTGCTTTTCCCAGCTTCTAGAGTTTGCTCACACTGCTCGGCTCATGGCCCTCACCCTCTACTTTCAAAGCAATGTGGGTTGAATCTGATATCGTGTTATGTTGATGACCTTGTTTCTGTCATCACATCTTATTCTCTGACTCTTCTGTCTCCTTGTTTTGTTTTTTAAGAACCCTCTGATTACTGGACTATCTAGAGAGTCCAGAATAATTTTGCATTCTAAGGTCAGTTGATTAGCGACCTTAATTTCATCTGCAACCTCCCTTAGCTATATAAAGTAACATATTCACAAATTCCAAGGATTAGGGTGTAGCTATCTTGGGAGTCATACATTCCACCTGCCACAGGTAGAAGAATGCAGGAGATGAGGACAAAGAAGTGGGTTTGGACCAGATTTTAAAAGGCTTGTAGGCTAGGTTAAGGAGTTTGGATCTTATTCCAGGAAAGGGAAAGTCCTTGATGGATTTCATACAGGGCAATGGAGTGATCTAAATTGCATTTTAAAAGGAACATCTGTTTGCCATGTGGAATTGGATGTAAAGAGGGAACGAATGACAGCAGGGAGACTAGGTACAGAATATGTAAATTTCTCCATGCTTGGTTAGTTGGATTAGGGTGATAGCATTGAAGGTGGAGAGAAGTGGATGATTATAGGATGTATTTTAGAGATAAAATCTTGCAAATATATTTATATGGAAGTAAAGGAAAGAGAAGAATGAGGGATGAGTTTTTCACTAAGACGGAGAAGGCTAGAAGATAGTAGATTTGAGGAATTGAGAATTTTTTGCCCATGTTAACTTTGAGAGCTACATTTGATATTCAAGTGGAGATGTTGAGAAGGCAATTACACGTAAGAGTCTGAATCTCAGTGGAAAATCAGGTCTAGAGGTACGTATTTGAGAGTTCCAACCTAAGTGAGATTAAGGCCATGTGACTAGGTGACATCTTGTAAAGATATAAATACAGAAAAATAAAGGACCTAAGATCAAACCCTAGGACTCCAATATTAAAGGTGAGGCAAAAGAAGAACAGCGAAGAAAATAGAAGGCGAGCCAAGAAATTATTTCCAGTTTTTCCATGAGGGGAGGGGGATGCTTAGCACTTTGAATGCCAGTGAGAGACTGACTGACTGAGGTGAAAGAGAAGTGCCTGTTGGATTTACAATATGGTGGTCATTGTCGACCTCAAGAACAGTTTGAGTGGAGTGGTGGAGATGGACACCTGAATGAAGAGCGTTACAGAGAGAAACAGAAGAAAGTAGAGGTGGCTGCTTTAGACAATTCATCCATAGTCTAAAGTGTGTTATGTGCCCTCCCCATTTGAGGCCATTGCACACTCTGTTTCCTCCCCCTGATATCTTCTGCTTTGCAGCACCCTCCCTAGAACCAAAGGTCCTTGTTAAATTCATCCACAGACTTCGAATCTCAGCATTTAGATTGCTTCCTCAGAGAGGACTTTCCTGCTTTATCGCACTCTATCTGCTTGGAAGATTTTTTTCCTGTCACAGTCTTCTCTCATGGTACACCTCACAGCTTATAATTATGTAGTTATGCCCCCCACCCCCACACACATACACACACTCACAATACACATGCCAGACAGTAAGCGCCACAGTTTTGGCTCATCGTTGTATTCCTAGTATGTAACCCAATGTCTAACACAAGGTAGTTTCTCAATATTCAACTCATTCAGTGAGTCAGTGAATAAATTCATGTTGTTTTAGTACCTTGGATGAATGATATGGTCTAGTGGTGTTTT